TTTCTTCAATCCATACCTCCCAGTGGCATTGCAATGCCTCATCCAACGATGGCACCCCTTATTTCCTTCTTCATTTGCCGTGCTTGGCATACTATCGCCCTCTCCACGGGGTATTTCCCGCTCTCGGCGCTCAGGCCTCCAATCGTACAGCTCACCCGTTTTGTAGCCTACAGGATTGGGGTCGCGGAATGCCTAGGCCTGTGGCGGAATGCACCCGGTATGCGCGAGTTCGAGATCCACGGTGACGAAGGACAACAGCCAGCCGGAGGCCCTGTCTATCACTCGGGTCTCGTGTCGCTCGTTCTGTCGGAACTGGATGTTGCCATCCCTCCCCTCACTCTCCCTGCGCTCGAGAGGTTGTCCCTGGACCACGTTACCTTTAAGAACACGGCATTCCCCTGGCCCTCATATCCTCTTCGCTTCTCCACACCTTCAGGCTCGGCGGTTTCTGTGGGGTTTCCTTAGGATGGCTGAGGCACATGAAATATATTACCTCACTCGAGCTCTCGTATCAAGAGTGGCAATACAGGGATGAACTTACACTTTCCAAGTGCCAGTCTCAGACAAAATCATAAGTTCCCCCATTACTAGAGCCATTGGCACAGAAGGCGCCTCAAAATTACAGTCTTTCTGGTTAATGTAGCCGGACGGTGACCACCTAGGGGAACATGATGATCACCCCCAGACTCGTAAACTATCATTGTATCAAAGGTGGCCGTGTTTGGGACCGAAATTCACGTTGGAACCCCATGCGTGAATTTCTTCAAGATCTGCGTATTTGAATGTGTTCAAGCGCTCCGCTTATCTCCTGACAGTCCAGACCACCTCAGGCGAAGGTGAAAACCGAAATCATCAGATATTCGCAAGAAATGAGGCAGGACACAGAAATGGTAGATTGGTTGATGATGGACAGTAGGATTAGCGCGAAGGCATGTAGAGATATTCAACATCACGTCTGAGACGACGGGATTTATCTTACTTCTCGCCACCGTCTAGTTGCCGCAAGGAGTCACAGTCGCATCTGCGCAACATCCACTCTACCTCGCAGAGGAGCCGACGCCCGCGCGCCTCGCCCAGCGAAAGTATCCGCAGTACAGCGCTCCGTTTAAAGTACCGTCAGAATCCCGGGCAGCACACCACGCCACGCGAGAACGACACAGCAGAGCATCCACATGCTCTCCTGCATGCTTAGGACGAGCACGATAAGGCGCGGTGCTCCTGCCCACCTGCTGGTACGGAACGACGCCGACAGCGCGGTCGAAGCGTGCCGTGAAAGGAGCACGAGCGCGACGCGGTGCGAGCACAGTGCACACCGTTGTATCCTAAGCTCAGTCCAAGAGATGAGAGGGGTCCAGCGGACAGGGCACGCGATGGTACCGGAGGCGCCATCCACGCGTTCCCGCAGCTCCACGCCGCCGGCGCGCTGTACAACGAACACGAGCGCGGTGGCACAGGAACAAGCGCGCGCTCGGCGCCCGAGGGCGAATCATTGCCGTATTCCAGACAGTCCTGCATTAGGTATCCGTCAGTGTACGCGAGGGATGGTATGAGAAGGGAAAAAGAATCGAAAGGGGAAGGGAAGGGAGGTAAATGACAACAAAAGAAATGAAGCAAATGGCGGGTATGAGGCGATAAGGGGAAACGACGCGATAAGGGCAAAGAACACGGGGTGTGGGGAGACCAGACGTGCAAGTGGTGATCTCGGTGGACAAGGAGGAGCGGTTGAAGAGCGATGAGGGCAGATGATCGGGAATGGATGTGACGTCGTGTCGTGTCACAGCAGAATAACGACATGGAGTGAAGGTGAAGTTACAGAGGCTGGGGAGGAACTGAGAAAGGAGGAGAGGAGTGTGACGGGGGAAGGTAGGAGCAGGTCGACTGGGACTGGGCAAAAAAAAAGGATGTACAGAAGAGTCTCTATAAATCCTGCCTCAAGCGTGGCCCCGACAGAGCTCTCTGCGTGCTCGACCAGGAAGACGCGCGCGGTGGTGAGCAGTGGTACATGGAGAATCAGAACCTGCGGGTTCGGTCAGTGGCTGGTGGAGAAGGATTGGAGGAGGAAGATCGTGGGGGAGAAAAGAAGAGGAGCGAGTCCGCTTCGTTCGCGAGATCGTCGCGCGTGAGGGGTGGGGCACACCGCTCCGGCGCGCGTGGGGGGACCCCCGCTCGTCGGTCTGCTCGCGCGCGAGCCCGAAAGGCTGCAGACCACGGCGCCTCGACATCCGGCGACAGCACGCGTCTCCTGCTCAGCCCACCCCCGTAAGCAGTGGCGAAGTCACAGCGCTCATGCGACGGGTATCCGCGCGCAAGTGCACGCAGCACCAAGGCGGCAGGACGTGCGCGCAGCACCACGGTGCACCAAAAAAAATGGGGGATTGCCGTCGTCCTCCCCACCCCGCAGCCACACCCGTGGGTGGGGTGACAACAGAAGCCGGCGACGGAGTGTTTGCAGACGCCGGCGCCAAGGCCTTACGCGGGCCCATCTACTAGCGGAAGGGCTGCTGACCACAGCGCTTCCGAAAGCCCAGCGGCAAGAATAATAAAGGGTGACTGGGCATCGGCGCGCAGCTACCTAGACCCACGGGCGGAGTGCCGGCAGAAACGAGCACCTGAGGAAGGGGTGCACGGAGCCGGGGAGACGCGCGCGCGGGACGAGGGGGTGGGACCGGTGGGTGGCACGTCGTCCATGCACGGGACTACATACGCTCTTCAGAGGACTCCTGGATTAAGAACCGGTCAGTAAAGGACGGGTCGAACGGGAGCGGGTGGGCGGTGGTGGTAACGGTAGAGGAAGATGAGGAGTACGCGAGGCGGCGAAGAGATATGGTAATTCGTGAAGTGTGACACGACGTCACGGAAAGTCACGGCGAAGGACAAGAGAGAAGTGCGGAATGTGTTTGGCGTTAAATTGGCTTGATTAATCCGTGATTGGGCGCCGGAAATAGAGTTTTAGCCTGCGGGACTATAATTTTGTTTTGGTTTGATTCAAGAGGTAGGTAGGTAGGTAGGTAGTATTACACGGCACGGTCCACTCATGAACGCTGGTTTCCAGGAAGTATCCCGCTGTCCACGCTATTACAGCATCGTCCCTGGACCCCCAAAAATCCCGTTAGCCGAGCTCACGGTCGCAGTACGCCGACTCCCCGCGGTAGAACTAAAAGAATTCAAGGAAGCAAACAGTCATCACATCAACCCAGAGTGGCCTCACTCAAATATACACGGGAACCGAGAAGAACAACGTCAAAGGCATATTTCACATTATTTCACAAGACTTCCGAGGGCTAACAGGTGTTTTCAGAATAACGGTGGGGTCAAACCCTCGCCAACCTTCTATGTCATCACCAGTATGAGATATTGCCGCATGGAGGAAGTAACTTGGAGCGCTGAGTGAGCTCTTGTCCTTTTTTGGAGTTCACAAATGGCCGTGCATTAAATAGAGTTTCTCTGATGAGTTAATTTCCTCTCATAGCTATTCCCATATATTTTGCCAGTCTCATATGATCTCCAATACCCTTAATGGTGGTACCATGCGGCAGATTGACTGGAAGAAGGAATAGCATTCTTGTAGCAACGGTGATCTTCTCCGGACTGAACCATTGACTTTTAGTTGTGACGGCACGCTCAAACGTATTATTGAGTGCGGCGCGAGCATACAAGTCGGTTTTGGGGAGTAGGCCAATTCGCTGGGATTAAGAATGGGGTGTTGAACTCGATGAGGCGTAGTCTTAGCTGCTGTGAACAGCGGCACAATCATGGAGCGACGATGGAGAATGCACATTTGTGTAGAAGCTGACCTCCCTGTTGAGAACTGTTTCACATGTAGAGAATCTGAATGATAATTCGCGTCCGAATTATAACTTTTTATGAAGTTGAACGACCCTTAGTAGTTTCAGTTAGCAGCGACGTTCATATCCGACGACGTCACGACGACAGCGAATATGCCTGAGTCGAACAGGGTACATACATTGTAGATGTCCTGTCCCCGAATCGAACGAGGTCTTCCTCCAGAAGCCATGAGGTGTACATATGTATTCCATAATTAACGGAGGCGTCCACCGTACACCAACAGGACATTATTCCTCTTCTCTTGCCATCCTTTTAACCCATCGAATTTGCCAGCGAAAAAAAAAACTCCAAAATAACATCAGATCCTGCCCCCGAGTTGAACGAGGTATTCCTCCATAGCACGAGGGGGCTATTCAAATGCACGAGGGGTGCACGATACACCAACAGGACATTATTCCTCCCTTCTTATCTTCCTTTTAACCCATCGAATTTGCCACCGCAAGAAAATGTGACTATCACCATCAGGTCCTGCCCCCCGAATCGAACGGGGTCAGCCTTCATAGCACATTTTTGGGCTCTGTTCCCGAATAATCGCAGGAGGCGTGCACCATACACCAACAGGACTTTATTACCTTACTTCGTACCCTCTTTTTATCCTACAGATTTCAATAATAAAAAGATCGCAACCTGCAAGATGCATATCCTGTCCCCGAATCGAACGAGCATAGCACGATCTCGAAATGGTCTAAATTGCAGGAGTTGTGCACCATACACCAACAAGACATTGTTTCTCCTTCTCTCAGCCCGCTTTTATCCCAAAGATTACAATGCTGAAGAAAAAGTATGAATCAACTTCCTTCCTCATGTCCTGCACCCGAATCGAACGGGGTCTTCCTCCATAGCGTATTCATCATGCTCGTCCAAATTGCAGGAGGCCACTACCGTACACCAACAGGACTTAATCCGCTTCATCTTGGCCTCATTTCATTTCGAAGATCTATTTCAACAAAGAAAAGAGAAAAAAATGTCCACCGAACTTCGACATCATGTCCTGTCCCCAATCGAACGAGGTCTTCCTCCATAAGCCATGAGGGTTTCTTTCAAAATTAAAGGAAGCGTGCACCATACACCAAGAGGACTGTTTCCCTTACCCCTTGTCCTCATTTAATAATGGGAAATTGCCCAGTGAAATAAAAAGAAGCGGTGTGCACCAATGTCCTGTCCCCGAATCGAACGAGGTCTTCCACCATACATTTCTAGGTCAGTTATAATTGAAGGCGGCGTGCACCATACACCAACAGGACTTTTCCCCTTACCTCGTACCCTCGTTTTATCCTGCAGCTTTCAACAGTGTCAATGAAGAAAAAAGACTCCTTCGACAACTCGCATGTCCTGTCCCCGAATCGAACGGGCTCTTACACCATGGCAAATTCCTAGTTGCGTCACATTTTAATTACTAGTGAAGGCATGCACCATACACGGGACCTATTCCGCTCCATCTTGGCCTAAAAAGATCGGCGAAAAAAAGGAATTAACCCGGGCCGTGACAATGCCCTGCCCCCGAATCGAACGAGGTCCTCTTCCATGGCAGATCTCGCCAAATTTCATGGGAGGAAGCGTGCACCATACACCAATAGGACGTTATTCCCTATCCTCTTGGACTCGTTTAATTGTAATAAATTGGCGAGTGAAATAAAAAGAAATTGTTATGTCTTCATGTCCTGTCCCCGATTCGAACGAGGTCTTCCTCCGTAACACATGTCTCGGATCTGGATTCAATTGCAGGAGGCGTGCACCATACACCAGCAGGACTTTATTTCCCTACCTCAGACCTTATTTTTATCCCGCAGCTTTCAACAATGAAGAAAACAGACTCCTCCGTCAGTGTCCATGTCCTGTCCCTCAATCGAACGGGGTCTTCCACCATGGCAAATTCCCCGCTGCGTCACATTTTAATTACTAGTGAAGGCGCGCGCCATACACTAACAGGACCCATTCCGCTCCATCTTGGCCTGCTTTCATCCCAAAAAGATCGGTGAAAAAAAGAAATTCAGCCTTCCAGATAATGCCCTGCCCCCGAATCGAACGGGGCCCTCTTCCATGGCAGAGTGCCGAAAGTGGAATTAAAAGAAGCGTGCACCATACACCAGCAGGACTTTATTGCCTTACCTCGGACCTTCTTTTTATCCCGCAGCTTTCAACAGTGAAGAAAAAGGACTCCTTCGACAATTCGCATGTCCTGCCCCCGAATCGAACGGGGCCTTCTTCCATGGCAGATTCTCGGCGGCTGCAATGGCAAAAAGCGTGCACCATACACCAGCGGGACGGTTTCCCTTACCTCTTACCCTCATTTTATAGCAGGAAACTGCAGTGAAATAAAAAGAAATCGTCATCGCATGTCTAGTCCCCGAATCGAACGGGGTCTTCTATCTTCATGCTGGAATGCACTGCTAATTAGCGCCGGCGTGCACTATATACCCACAGGACTTTATTCCCTTACCTCTTACCCTCATTTTAACCAGCAGATGTCAACAGTGAACAAAAAGAAATTGACAACGCTCGTATGTACTGTGTCCTGCCCCCAAATCGAACCAGGTCTTCCTCCATAAACAAACTTTCGTCACATTTTAATTAGTACAGGCGTGCACCATACACCAGCAGGACAATATTCCTCCTCCTCTTGGACGCATTTTATGGCAGGAAATTGCCTAGTGAAATAAAAAGAAATTGTTAACCCACAAAAATGGATGTCCTGTACCCGAGTCGAACGAGGTCTTCCTCCACACCCTGACTTTACACAGGTATTAATTCGAGGAATCGTGCACCATAAACCAGCAGGACTGATTCTCTTACCTCTTATCCTCATTTTATAGCAGGAAATTACCCAGTGAAATAAAAAAGAGCGACTGGATGCAGTGTTATGTCCCGCCCCCGAATCGAACGAGGTCTACCTCCCAATCCCAATCCCCTCCTTTTGTGAATTTGAGAGAAGTGTGCACCGTACACCAACAGGACTGTTTCCCTTACCTCTTGGCCTCATTTTATCCCAGGAATTGCCTAGTAGAATAAAAAGAAGTGGCGTGCAGCTCTTGAATGTCCTGCCCCCGAATCGAACGAGGTCTTCCTCCATAAACAATCCGGCACATTCGCTAATTAGCGGAAGCGTGGACTATACACTAACAGGACATTATTCCCTTTCTCTTCACCTCATTTTATAGCTGGAAATTGCTTAGTGATGAAATAAAAAGAGATCTATTAAACCCATGGTCTTCTTCCATAACACATTTCTCGGATCCGGATTCAATTACAGGAGGCGTACACCGTATACGAGTGGGGCCTTATTGCGTCCAATCTCAACTTGGTCTCATACCCATTAAAAATGGCAATGAAATAAAAAGTATCTAGACGCTCATAGCATGCTCTGCCCCCGAATCGAACGAGGCCTTCCACCATCACACAGCGATCGGGCTGATTGTGGGAGGCGTTCACTATACACCAACAGGACCTTATTCCCCCCTCTTCTTGGCCTCATTTTATCCCAGGAATTGCCTAGTGAAAAAAAAAAAGATATTCGCAGTTTAAATGACGCGCCCCGAGGACTTCCTCCATAGTCAAGTCCTAGTGGCGGCTGACTTAACGAATTTGAAAGAGATTGGAGTATCTCATCTAGGTTCTGCCCTCGAATTGAATGAGGTCTTCTAAATCATGGCCTCTCATCTGATCCCGAAGATTTCAGCAGTGAAGAAAGAAGAAAAAAAATTGTTGAAGACAGGTTGTCCTACCCCCGAATCGAACGAGGTCTTCCATCTTCATGTTGTGATCGCTTCCAATTAGCGCAGGCATGCATCATAAACCAGCAGGATAATATTAGCTTACTGCTTAACCTGGTTTCATTTCTATATATATATATAAAACGGCAATGAAATAAAAGCGATTGTGCACTATGGTCGAATGTCCTGCCCCCGAATCGAGCGAGGTCTGCCCCCGCAACACATTCCTACAGTTCGCCGTTCCAATTGCAGGAAGCGTGCACCGTACACCAACAGGACGTCATTCCCCTCCTCTTGAGATGGGTGTGTCTCCAAAAATTGACCAGTGAAATAAATACGAATTGCACTACCTCCTGGATCGAACGGGGTCTTCCTCCATAACACATTGTTTGAGGTGGTGGGCAGCTGGTTAAGGCGCGCGCTGTCGTAGTAATTTGCCAAAGACGGAGGCGTACTCTTGACTCGAGTACGCCTTGAATTTTTTCCTATGTTCCCATTCGTTTTGTCCTTCCGGTGCCTTCAAATTAAACCTGTCGACTGACGAGTTCCAGAAACTCACCTCTCGCTCCAGCTCCCGCTTCTACTCTCCGTAATGAGAAGATGCATGGCCTCACACACAATTCTGTAAGCCTCATTTCCGCCCAACATGCATTGAACTTGGAACGGATTACGCACAGGCTGCTCCAGTCCGAAATTCCGAATGAACGCCTTCAGTGGATGAAGCCGGGGATTTGTTGCCTGGACACCGCGATAAACAAACCGCGAGTCAGATCCGCCGTCCAATAGAGAAGGAAGTCTTGTCTTCACAAATGGAAAGAAGTTTCGTGACACAGAATTATTTCTCAACTGCTTGAGTGACGGAAGATATAATTCAATATGAGAAAGGAATCTGCGGCATATTCAGAATCATTTTCTTCGCGCTCAGTACCTTGGACAGTACGCTCAATTATATAGATCACTACAGTCGTCCAGTGCGTTTTGTCTTAGCGATTTTGGCTCGAACACATTTTTTTTCAGACACAAAGAGGCATATCAAAATCCGTGTCCATAATCACTTTGAGCCATTGGCGGCTCTTGCAATCATCACGAATTAAGCAGTGATGGGGATGCAGTTGATGGCAATGAGACCACCTACGAAAGAATGAGAATCTGCACAGGTATTAAAAAAATAACACCTACCCCACTGCTTCTCGGGGGCAGCGCAAGTGACGGTGGTGCTACCACTGTGGTGTTTTGTGAGAAAGGAAATAATCAGAAACAGGCGGAGAAACATACCAGTTGTTGCCGGCGACGGTGATGGGCGAGCAGCTCAGGCCGATGGGGACGTTGAGTCCGGTGAGGTCGAGTCCGAGGAGAGCGGCAACGGCAGAGGCAGCAGTGGAGCCGCTGCTCACCACACTGTTGCAGCATTGGGGCGAGTTCTGGGGAGTGGTGGGGGGCGTGTTGGTGCGGGCCGTGGGAGTGGCGGCAGCAAGGGTCTGCATGAGAGAAAAGTTAGTTCAGTCGGCAACCTTGCATCTGAAGATTACCCACAGCGAGCACGGAGGCGACGATGACGGAGAGCTTGGAGAACATGTTTAAAGGCTTGGTAGAGAGCTTGAACTACAGAGGGTGTTGTTCGAGTGAAGATTGAGAGCGACTCCGTTCACCTTTTATACGTTTCTGGCATGGTGAGCGCATAGACATCACGGTAGGAAACAAGGAGACTAGCGAATTGTGGAGCGGTGGAGCCATTCGTCGTTTTCATGGAGTGGGAGGGTGGTCGAGCACGGCGAGGGAAATTAATACTTGCCGATGGATCGAACTCGAGGGATATATCAATCACGCCGCGGAGCCACAGCTATGTAAAGAGATATTTTTGGCGGATGTCGTATTTTCCTGTCGCCAAGATCCGATAAAATGACAGCGGTTGAGCTGGAAGGCCGCCGAGCGAGCCCCCCTACTTGAGCCGGACCACCCAGTGAGGTTTGGAATAGTCGATGTCGAAGAGAAGTTTGGTGAGAGGCACAGGCTCGACACAGAGGTGATGAGGATCATTCCAAGCCAGTCTAAATCGATTATCGAGCTCTACAAACAAGTCTAGGCGTTGAAACCGGAAGTGGAGCAACAGCGGGAAAAGAGGAGTCCGCGCCATCTTCGTCACTTCGTTACTTCGCTTAAATTCATCAGTTTGATGGTATTCTATGAAAGTTCGTGAGTTCAAGGAATTTCGACGAAAGTTCGTCACTTTCCCTAGATCAATGTACTGCGTGCCTGTCGGCACATCACAGAATCAGCGGTGTGCCGAGCTCAGCTGGTTAGGTCGGGTTAGCTGGTTAGAGCTAATGGTTAGTGGTTAGAGGTTAGCGGTTACGGTTAGTGGTTTGGGTTTGTGGTTCTGGTTCTGGTTAGCGGTTAGGGTTAATGGTTAGTGTTGGGGTAAGGTATCTATATGAAAAAACCTGTCCGGCCTTGTGCTGAAAGAACAATGATGGCCGATGTTCCGGGTTCTCGAACGTGCCGAGCTAAAATGACGAACTTACACAGAAAATCAT